ACTGATACTCCCAGGCAATTAGAAGCATAATGCTTTCCTTACAACTAAGCATATTAGCTAATTAACACACTTTAATAATAACTGACCCACATTCAGATCGGTCGAGCAAAACAAAAAGCACATCAGGCTCATTAATCTAAATAGAATAATATAACCGTAACACATTTTCACTTGACATAATCCCACCAGGTCGCCCAACAATGTCCCCCATTCAGGCTATTATTTAGGGACAGCAATTAATCAGAACAGACTACAACATCGCCATGGGGTCCATTACACTTGGTGGGGTTTGTAATTGAATTTATGAAGCATTTACGGAGAACTGTGTAAACAATCAGTTCTAATGATACAGCATAATGCCCCTGTGATTTTGCCCCCCGTTACTGACGCCCACTCCTGGAAGACATGCTGACACACAGTTAAAACAAGATTCATACTTGAAAGGAATTAATGTCATATTGCACCATATGAAAATGAATCAGGTAAAAATATGGATATTTAATAAAATGTTTGTTGACAGGTATAAGTGAAGATTGTTTTCCTTTTAAATGTATGATTCAGAGCATTCAGTTCCAATCAAAAAGTGCACAGAATATGTCATTTGTATGTGGAAGTTTGTAGATATATGATCAGATGAAAATATTCTTATATTTTTAATAATAGGATGTCTGGGCTACACTTGGTTATTTACAGGTCAAGTTCATGATGATGTGTGACGTTAAACAGCGATCAAACAAACTTTAATTATCAGGGCATGGATTACAGTGCTTTTGTTTGCAAAATTAGAATAATAAGAATATATAGTATCACCATGAATCCAGCCAGGATTGACTCCAGTCAGTTTTTACTACATCCGAAAACTAAATATGATTGTCCATGTTGCTGGGTTATTATAAGTCTCCCATCCACTGTTTGGTATATACTGTACACAGACATATTCCTACAACACAGCCTGTAGTCAGTAAATACGACTATATCACTCCTCAAACACTGGGGTAAATCTCTATCGATCATCTGGTCTAGCTGTCACTGCCCTCATAGAAATTGGCAAAACCTCAACAATCCAATTAGCACAAGATCATTCTTATCAGGCTCGGTTCCTGATACAATCCCATGGTTAAACACAACACCACAAGCTCACTCTGCTGTACTTTGGGTTCATTCATACTATTCAAAGGCATTTATAACATGTCATATCATTACAATTTGTTGACAAACTTGCTGCTCTTTACAATGTGGAACAGGTGAGTGAGTGAGTGAGAGATAGAGAGATAGAGATAGAGATAGAGATAGAGAGATAGATAGATCATAATATTTCTATTTTCACTTTAAATAATAGAATAACTAAACTTTGTTCAAATTTCATATTAAACAGGACCATGCTAATTGGCCAGTACATATCCCCCATGTCCCCCCATGTAATACAGTGGTGAAACCTCTCACTACCCCACTACCTGATGTGAACAAATAGCTTATGGAAGTTCTTCCTTATGTATTCACGCATTAACCCCGGTTTCCTGTGTGTAACATAGTTGATGCTAGTCGATGCAACATGTTCCAGCGAACAACGCTGCCATATGTCAGATGACATGTGCCATCTCCACACCGTGGACATCTAGGTGAAGGATGTTGAAATAATCAGCGATCAAGTGTCACTGACAGTAGTCAAGGTGATCCCCATTACTGTAGAACATCTGGCCAAATATACCCACTGACAAGACCATGGGAATTCCACTCACCTGAAAACCACAAAAACCTCTTTTTCTTAATGGAGCAATCCCAACGTATTGTTGGCAGAGTTTATTGAATCCTCAAGGGGGGGTTAGGTTGTACCCTGACAGTGATTTTCCAGTACAGTTCAGGTTAAAGGGGCTCATTTGCATACAGGTGGTTTGGCGAAGCCACACGGTCGTAGGTGTCACATTTTCATAGCGTCAGAAAAACTCCAAAACAAATGCTTTAACGGTACAATCCCTTTCAAAATGTGAATGAACTGGAAACCAGCACATTGAATCACATGAATCATTGTTTGTAGACAAGAGGTAGTTCGTAGTTCAATATTTGGACAGATGAAAATGCTTCCACTCACTTGTTGGACGATTTAATGCTTGCAAATGTAATCAACACCTTGGAGACCGAGGTTATAGTAGGCAGTGTATTACTATCATGGGATTTTGTTCAATATTTTGGTTGATGTGTGTATATATAGCATAAGCATGATTATGACTCCAGTCTCCAGATCCATCAAGTGCGCGATAATGTGTGCAGTTGCACAATTTACTCACTCAGCAGTTACATAAATTTGGTTCTTAACAATTGGCTCTGTGTTAGCTATATGTGGCAGCAGTCTGTGTTTGAGTCTGAACCAGGCATAACAGTAACCATGACAACAAGAGCCACCAACCATCAAGTACAATACAGTCCATGCACTGAGTGAAGTCTGACCACCCAATACCTATTTTCTCCCAACAAGTGCCCAGCTGGTAAGATGAAGCTACCTATTTGGGACCTACCCATGCTATTGTAGCTGCGATTGTCATAGGCCAATGTTAAAGTTGTAGTTGTAGTCAACTTAGGGCAAATGTTGCATTGAGGAATGGGGTGTTTCTTTCTTGTGGATGATTTGTTTCTCAAAAAGTAAAACAAAAACATGGTCATTTAAAAAGTGGTAAAATTTAACAATTGATATAAGGAAGTAATGTTATATTTATGAAAAGTGTGTTTATTTTAAACGTAATCCTGGTTTGATTATTTAAAAATACACATTTATATTTATTAAAAAATGAATCTAAAAAGTATTTTTACCTGATGTGAGCAGTCTCTAGTGAACTGTGATATGTTATACTCTATCACCTTTGTTCCAGAATAGAAACAAACAACTAAACTTAACTTGAAAATATGTCAAAGAAATACAAGTGTTAAAAACATGATTAATGACATCATCACAAATATTTTGAAAAAATATCTAAAATAAGTTATTATAAGTATGTACATAGAAAAACATACTGCAAAAACAAGAAAAGTGTACGTTGATTTAAGCACAAATAGAACTTTATGCATGTCAGAATCAAAAGTCAATGTTCATTAGGTGCCTTGTGATTGGTTTGGATCAATTTGACTTGATCGGTATTTATGGCCTCTGTTTGTGGTACAGAACACCTTTAGGCTCCAAGTGACCTTTGAATGAACTTGATATGCTTGTCTATTTGTCATTGATATCAATATTTAAACATAATATTTACTTATAGGATACCCAAACAAACACTTCAAAAGAAAATCCAGCTCTCTGCATTTTCCTCATGCGATGTCTACATCTCATTAATTTATTTTGAGTATGTGATTAATTCAGTCATAAAATTGAATGCCTATAAACAGCTTGACACCAGCCATCACACTACGGTCAATGTCATCCAGGGGAGAAATTTAGTGTCCAACTTGGTGCAAATTAGCCGATTCAGTTTTCACAAGCTACCCTTCAACACAGCAATCCAATGTTTACTGCCATAAAGTAATTAAAGCATGAAATTGACCCCTTCAGAAAGTAACCTGAATTTCAAATCAGTATCATATTATTGCCACATCATGTATCAGGTCCATCACTTCCAAATTCAAAGGAGTGCTGCAACAATGGAGGAATTTTTTGGCTTAACCCCCTCAACGTGACGTTTTCAAGACATTATATTTACTGTCTTAAGATGGTTAAGTTTGGAAATATATCTTATAAATCCAGAATGATCACATATAACCAGCTTAATCATATCAAAGTTTATCCCTGATAAAACATTCCTTCATAGTTCTAATAACCTAATATCTGGTACATCATATACTGTAATAGACAGGTATCAATAGCTCACCATTTGACTTAAGATATTTGTTTCTGCAAACGTTCCATGTAGAAACAGACAATTTTCTATAAACAACACAAACAACATACAGAACAACCACAGTTCAGACATTCCTTGTTTAGCTATGTTTCCATTAATTTTCATATTAATAAGCAAAATAAAATGAAATCTATTTCCAGATACAACACTCCAAATACTATAACATGGAATAATTGAAACTGCTTGCGGCAAGAACAAACCATTAATACATTCAGAACACCGTATTCAAATCTGAAGCTCTTGTTTGCCACTTTCAGGGTTAACCCCGCTATCACACAGCAAGCAGAATCAATCATTTCCTTGCTCTGCTTCGGAATTCCCCCTTCCTCCCCCACACAAACCCTGGGTCACCTTGACCCTACTGACCACTGAGGCCCTCCGTGGGTACAGTGATTCCTCTGCCGCCACCCCCTGGGGATGGTCTCAACAGGTGGCAGATAGGGAGGCACTCAACAATGACTTCAGCAGCCAGAAGAGGTCTTTGTTTATTGCACTTGATGCTTTGAAGGACATAAACCTTGGAATAAAACTGAAGTAATTCCATCTGGATGATTCACTTTAGTAGATGTATTGAGAAAATATACTTTACTTTAAATGCCTAGGATCTTGTTTTTGTGTGGATTATTCAGTTTGTGGAAAATAAAATTCGAACATAATATTGAAAGAAGATTATGTCCTGAGACATCATTCCTGGATACTTATTGTGGTAGTAAGAATAACTGTCAAAATATAATTCTCTAGACTGCAGTTTATTTTTTTACTGATTTATTACAGTAATATGAACTTTAATATTCTAGTTGTAAATTATAACATATATGTACATGGAAACTATACAATATTCAGTTAGTTCTTTATCAGTTTTGCTAAATTCTTATCACGATCTGATTATATTAGATTTTATATTCATATGTCAAAAATCAAGTCAATCTCATGTCCAGATTGTAATTTAACTGTTTAGGCTTTTAACAAAGTACCCAATCCATCAAATCAGATTAATTTATTCAGAAAACTGACAAGTCAGTTTGAATTTAACAGTCAAAGTTTCTGCCAGTTTAACTTGTTGATATCCTGCCTGTCGGACAATCTGTGATCTCAATCTGTTCCTCTTGTTTGAAGCGAACTGACCACTGAGTGACCACACACCTCCTCGGGGCCCCTGGGGCGTTGACTGGAGCACTCTGCCCTGGTCGGCTGACTGCTGGGGTGGTCAAGTGGACTGAAGCAATCTGGACAATCACACCACTACCGCATGAATGGTACAGATTACTAGAAATTTATGACAATCAGCCAGGCAGTTCATTCATTCACAAGGGAGTGGGTGTGGGTGGAGGGAGTACGTCCCCCAGCCCTACAGTACATCCCCTCCCCCTCCCACCCTCTCCCAGGGGGGGGCCAGACTCCCCTGTCTGGGACTTGTTCTTCTGTTTTGAATGAACTGTTTTCAGCTTGTGTTATTGACTTTTGTAGAGATTAGTCAGTGTTTTCCTGGTCCCCCCAAAGAGTCACCTCTACTGCAAGACAGATCTGTATATCTAATGATCCCTCCTGCCCAGCCTGCCTTACTGCCACCAACACCCCTCCCCCTTCATCACCCCTCCCCCTTCAACACCCTACCATACCCTTCCACCAACTGTAGTGTTCACTCAAATCCTTCAAACATGACATTCAGATATGTTAACCTAAACTTCCACAATTATATAAATGTTGGAGGCCTCCTATTTTTATTAAAGCTTAGTTGATTTCAGAACTGAAAAGGTTTATAGGGATACATTAAACAAATGAAGATTTGATTATCTCACCCACAAACCATTCCTTTAAGAGACAACTTCAGAAAAACAAGTTCCCAATCATATTTTGATATTTATTACAAGACAGATTCACAGATAAAACAATAAGATTGAATACACAGCCTCACATCCCACTACTAGTGTGTAAAACTATCAACCACTGTCACCAGGCAGTGATGCAGATTTGTCAGCTGTCCTGACGATTTGTTTATGAAACTGGAACTAAGGGAGGACAAACTACTGACACAATACCAGTAACACAAAACAAACATCTGACAATCAACATTTATCATATTCCACACTTGCTATAAAGCTCCACAACTCCCCAAACCACCACTCACCAGAGTCATGGCACTCACTATGAATGCTGTCAAAACCTTTTTATTGGACAATCCTTGCCTAGGCTACTATTTCACTTCTCATAGGTATCCAGTTATATGTCTTTTACATGATGTCCCCGAAATGAATGACATTGACATTTATTCCTGACAAGAATCCTCCATCAATAAGCTCATGTCACCAACAGAACTATAACACAGGATTCATTCAGCTATACATCTTCTGTTGCTTCTGTCAAGGTCTTTACATTCATCTCTTTAACCCTTAAACAGTAAAACCTACTTTCCTGTACACTATCTATATACTAAGATAAAAACATATATAGAAAACTATTCATATGAATCAGAAATGTACTTTGAATTTAATGACAGATAATTTGAATACATTTAGAGAAAAAATGTAGGTACAATGATTCCTAGTTATACATTTATATGGGTTAAATCACTTAATGCATGCAGTTGATCCTTTGTGCTCTATGTACATCTGAGACATAGCAGTGTAAGATGTCCTCAGTAAACAGAAAGAGGACTACATTGAACACTTGAGTGACCTACTGTTATTTGCTTGGCTATTAATATGACGAGCCAGGATGCAAATGCCAGCCATCTCAAAGTAATACCTTTTAAACACAGATTTGAATAGCGAACAAGCGATCTTTGTTGCGTAAGTCCTGAAGCACTTTAAAGATGCATACATGGTTTAGATTGTGAAAGGCTTTTCAGAAGCAAGTAGAGGCAGTTGTTAAGATTAGTTGTCCGTCATTATGAAACACAGACAATAAATATATACACGATGCACCCATGTCCTAATGGCAGGCTTAGCAGAAACATCTCTACAGAAGTAGACAAGCTTATTTCTTTCCTGTTTGAAATCTTTCTTTATTACTAAGTATTTGAATCATTTCATCCATGAGGACACCATGCATGAAATTGAAAACTTTCATGATCAACTTTTTGCAAGTATCACAAACATACATAAGAAGTGTCTTTTGATATATCAACATGAATGGAAACAGTTGAAACCTCCAAGGCTTGGTGAAGACTCTTAAACTTCTCTGTTGATAAATTGATGAGTGAGATTAAATTTGTCAACCAACTTTTATAATGTGTCAACAGTAATAATAACCAGTGTCTTAATTTTCAAATGTACAGCCAACAAGGTTGAGTGGCCGACTGATTAGTGACGTCATTCTGGTCAAGGTAATCCATGATGTCAAAATGTTCTACAGTGATTTGTGACAATACATCCGTGAAAATGTCACTCAATATCACCCAACTTGTATCACTTGTGCTAATTTTGGAGGAGAAATATACTCATATCTTTCCTATTTACTTGTAAAACTATAACAAATATATTTCACATACTTATTTCATTTTGTAGATGTTCAGTTACAACATAACACATGTACTACAAAGCAAAAGTATGCAAGGCAAGCACCAGGTTGTGGAAATCCTTATGCAAGGGAAATAACTCTGCTTAAAATGGAGCAGAGAAGCAACAGGTGAGTCTACCTGTTGCTTACCTCGTGACTGTGCTGGAGTCTGTTATGCTGGGTTAGAAGGATGGTTTACTTAATGCAACAAATTTTGCTCTATTATTGGAAATTTAACACAGTATTAGGTGATTTTTTATGGGGTATGAGCGGGCAGCAATAATGATGGGGGGTGACTTGGGTGGAGTAAATGTCCTGGTGTGGAAAGGTGGAGGGATGGTTTGGGTAAAACAGTAAATGTGTGGGCCTTGGAAGCAGTGGGTGGTGTTAATGGGGTGGACTTATGGGTAAATGCATGAGTGTGTATTGGAAGCAGTGGTTGGAAGGGTGGGGTAATGGGTGGTGTTAATAGGGTGGACTCGCGGGTAAATGAAAGTGTATTGGATTGGTTGGTTGGTTTGTTGTTTAACGCTGCACTCAGCAATATTCCAGCAATATGGCAGCAGTCTGTAAATAATAGAATCTGGACATGACAATCCAGAGATCAACAGCATGATCATCGATCAGCGCAATTGGGAGCCGATGACATGTGTCAACCAAGTTAGCGAGCCTGACCACCCAGATAGGGTGCTGCACTGAGATTGCATTGAGGATGGCAAAGTTAACTTCAATAACGTTAAGTTTAAATGTCAAATTCTTAAACTTGAATGATTTCAGAATGTGTGATTTCAGCCCCATCCCCAAACCCTATCCACCCCTGCTAGAATACTCAACTGTTATCAGACTTATATATGACTTTGTCGACATCCACATTCATGTATCTCAAGTACTGAGTTTTGGATAAGGTAACAATGAATCATTACAAACATGAATTGGAACCAAAAATAGAAGCAGGATTGAGTGTTCCCACCCGGAAGTGTTGGGCCACGCTATGTTTTAATGGCCACATAGGGGGCCTGTGGGAGTGGCGTATTTCACCCTCAGATCAAGGGTTAAACATGACAGTGAATATACTTGAATCAGAAATCCTGATTTTTATTCTTTTTTTTTCACATTTTCATTATTTAGATTTCTGACCACTTTAATTTTCCATAAAGAATTTGTTTAATTCTTGATATATATCTAATCTGAGTGTTCATTGTGCATGATTGATAAAGCTATATTCTCCCAGTGCTGTGCATAGGGTAGTCAAGAGGTAGTCTGTCTCTCAGTCCCTGAACCACAATATTTTCCCTACAGCCTTGCCCCTCCTGCAATGCTAAAGCCCTAAATGAAGCAAGTCTAGAATTCCCCAGGTTCAGGATCTCTGGTCTCCCTGGGGCTCCTTTTCAATGTAAATGGGTTTACTTGTTACTATCAAAACGATATACATCCAGAGACATAGCATTAGTCTAGTCAAGAGGTTATTACACAACAAATTACTTCACAACATCAAGACCATGTTTGAATCTTTTGTATGAGACCAAATCTTGGTCTCCTTGATATCTGATGAGACCTACCTCACAAACATATTGTGTGATTTCTGATCTAGCACAGACAGACCAGAGTTTCAGCCCAGGATGGGCCAGTACACCAGTACTGCCAAGCCTTGACAGAGAGTTGTCTCCCTTGAAGACAAGCTAACAGAGTCATCCATCAAGACATGACTACAGGACCAGACAATCCAGTGATCAACAGCATGAGCATCGATATGTGCAGTTGGGAACCGAGGACATGTGTCAACCAAGTCAGCGAGCCTAGCCACCCGATCCCGTTAGTCGCCTCTTACGACAAGCATGGGTTACTGAAGATCAATATTCTAACCCGGACCATCACGGGTCTGTTACTTTATTAAGAATCATCTTGACAACCAGGGTCTGATGGGATTGTTTGGAGATATTGTGAAAAAAACCTGCCACACATCCTGTTTCTGGAGCCTAACACATTATTTCTCTATACCATATATATTTGTAAATTTAGTTTGTTGTGTTAACTTTTACAATTTCTTATAATACATTTTCTAAAAAAGTTACAAAAATGAATTCATGAAATTTAAAAAAACTCTTTCTGAAGCGCACACACCCATTCTACACATAGTAAACCTTCATGCATAATACATAAACCCCACCGAATAAATACAATATTGCATGTGGTTAAGATTCACTTCAAAATCTGATCATAAATCACTCATAAAAATCTCTTCCTGGTATCACTGAACACCCCGCCACCTACACCTCTGCCCCTCTCTCTGAACACCCCTCTACCCACCCAACCCCCATCCTTAAAATATGACTCCGTTTGAGCACACCCTCCACCTGTTATTCAACTCCTCTTGGCCACCCAGATCTAACCCTTCTCCTCCCCAATCTTGCCCCCCTCCTATCCCTAGCAACAGCTCCATGCTGTTTATATTGTAAGCTGGTGACGTGATTTTTATGCGCAAAACAAGTGAATCCTTCTTAACTCTTTATCTGCTGAATGCTTAATATATTGTTTTGTTACTCTTTTTAATAAACTGGTTGGAATCACACCCACCAAATAAAGAAATTTTTATCCAAGAAGTTTGTGTGTATTGGACTTGTGTTTAAATGATATTGGAGTGTAGTCACTGGAACTGACTTTAGAGATAATTCTGAGACCCTGATGCATCGCAACAACCGGCAACTGTCTCTTTCCTTCTGAAGCTCAAATGTGGACAAACAATTTTATGCATTTATATTTAACAGAGTGAGTGAGTGAGTTTAGTTTTACACCACACTCAGCATTATTCCAGCTATATGGCAGCAGTCTGTAAATAATCGAGCCTGGACCAGACAATCCAGTGATCAACAGCATGAACATCGATCTGCGCAATTGGGAACCAATGACATGTGTCAACCAAGTCAGCGAGCCTGACCACCCGATCCTGTTAGTCGCCTCTTACTATTTAACAGAAGACATCACCTTCCGCCAACATCAAGCTGACGTCTTCATGTAATTCTGCCCACTCACTCACTCTTGTTTTATACCCAAGACACTCCGCTATACAATAAGTTCTACCTGCCCTGTATTCTGCCCATGACAATGTGACACTTATTATCAACTAAGTTTTCCTGATGTGACCCCCACCACACAGTCCAGCCCTGCTCCACTGAAGTCACCCCCACCCCCACAACACAGTCCAGCCCTGCTCCACTGATGTCACCCCAACCCCACCACACAGTTCAGCCCTGCTCCACTGATGTCACCCCTGCCCCTACCCCACACCACACAGTCCAGCCCTCCTCCACTGATGTCACCCCCACTGATGTCACCCCACCCCACCACAAAGTCCAGCCCTGCTCCACTGATGTCACCCCCACCCCACCCCACCACACAGTCCAGCCCTGCTCCACTGATGTCACCCCCACCACCCCACAGTCTCCAGCCCTGCTCCACTGATGTCACCTCCACCCCACCCCACCCCACCACACAGTCCAGCCCTGCTCCACTGATGTCACCCCCACCCCACCACACACACAGTCCAGCCCTGCTCCACTGATGTCACCCCCCACCCACCACCACACAGTCCAGCCCTCCACTGATGTCTCCACCACTGTCCAGCCCTGTCCACACCCCACCCCCACCCCCACCACACAGTCCAGCCCTGCTCCACTGATGTCACCCCCACCCCCCCACAGTCCAGCCCTGCTCCACTGATGTCACCCCACCCCCCCCCCCCACCACACAGTCCAGCCCTGCTCCACTGATGTCCCACCCCCCACCCCAGCCCTGCTCCACTGATGTCACCCCACCCCACCCCCCACCACACAGTCCAGCCCTGCTCCACTGATGTCACCCCACCCCCCCACCACACACCACACAGTCCAGCCCTGCTCCACTGATGTCACCCCCACCCTGCACTCCAGCCCTGCTCCACTGATGTCAGCCCACCCCACCACACAGTCCAGCCCTGCTCTACTGATGTCATGTCCAGCCCTGCTCCACTGATGTCACCCCACCCCACCCCACACACAGTCCAGCCCTGCTCCACTGATGTCACCCCCACCCCACCCCACCACACAGTCCAGCCCTGCTCCACTGATGTCACCCCACCCCACCACACAGTCCAGCCCTGCTCCACTGATGTCACCCCACCCCACCCCCACCACACAGTCCAGCCCTGCTCCACTGATGTCACCCCCACCCCACCCACAGTCCAGCCCTGCTCCACTGATGTCACCCCCCCCCACCCCACCACTGAGTCCAGCCCTGCTCCACTGATGTCACCCCACACCTCCAGCCCTGCTCCACTGATGTCACACCCCACCCCACCACACAGTCCAGCCCTGCTCCACTGATGTCACCCCCACCACACCCAGCCCTGCTCCACTGATGTCACCCCCCACCCCACCCCCACCCCACAGTCCAGCCCTGCTCCACTGATGTCAGGATTTAAGGGTTAACATTAGTTTGTGACCCCAACCTTGACGTTATTACGCACTTCAGTTGTCTTTTAACTCAGGTGCTGCAATCAATTTCATTGGATATCTTGGATCTGATTTGCATGATTACTTTATCTGCTGGGCTGCCCTGGAATATGTTTACTTGCTTAAAGTCTTTGTAGCTGTCAGGTACCATCTTAAAAATCAAATTTATTTTAACAAACTGCATTTGCCTTTTCCCTGTTGCCAAAAGCCTGAATTCTAAACATTAAAAAAAATGAATGTATTACTTTTATTTCAGATGTTTTTGTCAATACACAAAGAGATCGGAAGAGCAAAAAAATTAATTTAATAATTTTATCATGCATGTAATTGTGGCAACAAAACAATAACAACTTTGTTCAAAAGAAGAATATGTTCAATTTTATTTTCTTTGCTTTAGCAAACTTCATGGCACAATACTTTTGAAGTAGGACCTGATATGAAATTGGAACATCACATACAATGACATGTTTATGCTAAGTTGCAGTATTGATCATAAACAGTCCACATGGTAAACAACTTGTTTTGGCAGCTGTAACATAAGTGAAGGATCTTGACAACTTGTTTACACCATTTCTGTCACTATGGCTACTCAGAATGGACAGTTCTTGCATGGAAGAGGATGAGGACATATCACCAGTGACCATGGTGACTGACTGACATACTGATAACGGAACTGCTCTTCCCAGTTCTGGGTTGTCTGCTCCAGGCTTGGTCAGTTGCTGCTCTAACCACATTTCAGCCATGATCCGAGATGCCAAGTGACCTTCACATGGTGGACAGACATGTTTTCCCTTCTATCCTTCAATGGATTTTTTTCTCACAGATGATCAAAACTGATTGATCTCCAGCGCTGACATTATATATTTACACACTGTCAACATATTTTGAAGTGACAAGCCCAAACTGTAATTACTGGGATGTCCTACAGCCCATTAACTAGCATGAAACACCGCTACTGAAACTGACTGGCTGGCTGACATGGGTTCTGTGGTGAAAGTATATATGCAGAGTTATCTCCCCTTGTTGCAAGGATCCGCAGACAACTGAGTCCACTCACTGCAACAAAATACCTGTCAGCCCTGACTAATTCATTAGTATTGACTGATATCTTTGAACAGTATTTAGTATTGATCGAAGTCACTCACTAATAGTACTGAATGTTGCTTGAAACAACTCACTCACTCACTAATAGTACTAAATGTTGCTAAATACCACTCACTCACTCCCTAATAGTACTGAATGTTGCTAAATACCACTCACTCACTAACAGTACTGAATGTTGTTAAATACCACTCACTCACTCTAATAGTACTGAATGTTGCTTGAAACAACTCACTCACTCACTAATAGTACTGAATGCTGCTTGAAACAATTCACTCACTAATAGTACTGAATGTTGCTTGAAACCACTCACTAATATTGCTGAATGTAGCTAAATACCACTCACTCTATAATAGTACTAAATGTTGGTAAATACCACTCACTCACTCTAATAGTACTAATTGTTGCTTGAAACCACTAATAGTACTGAATGTTGCTTGAAACCACTCACTCACTTACTAATAGTACTGAAGATACTGACACAAGAGGTACCAGCAAAGCATTTCTCAGATGAGATTAGTACAAATTTTCCCTGTGAGGATATGCCTAATACTCCGCTTCCTGTCATCTATTTCACCCAGCCACTCATTTCATGTGTTAAGCCAATCAAGGCCCCAAATTCCCTTACAAAACCCCAGATCTGAATTTATGGGGAGATATTGATTTTTCGTGTAATCTTAACACGACAGGAAGTACACACTTATAGGTGTATGAATTATTCCAGTGTTGGTCATCAACCAAATAATTTATCAATAACTCGAGCCCGCCACTTCAGTAAATCTCAGCCGGGTCATTCATTGTGGAGGAGTGGTTGCTACCCGCGGAGATCGGCAACGCTGTAAAACCACAACTATGTGCGCTGGAAAACATAATCAAACTTTCATCACTGTTAGCATGCATCGATAAACTTGAATTGTCTACTGTATTTCAGGTTTACTTAACAATAATGTGGCGGGATACTAAGCTCCGTCTCCATGTGGAAAGGTCTTGTGCAAGCTATTTGAAGCAGGATGTGATTGTTCTGGATTGAATTTTTTATCAATGTGGTCCTGCTGCATTAAATTTCAGTTTGTAGAAGTTAAGTTGTTACGGTCAACACAAACGCGACACTTTATACCAGCTGAACTCCAGGTGTAGTGGGGTTGAATAATAATGTGCTGAATGTTTTCACTAAGATTTCAATTTGTTTTTACCATTTATCGGAAATAGTTAATACTGATGCAGTC